TCACCTCCCGAAGTGATCACGGCCCAGTAGTATAGCATGGCAGACGGACAAGAGTGTAGGGCCACTGATGGAACACTAGCATCCTATACTAAGCAGTAGGATAACAGGTAATGGTAACAACAGTAGTAGCAAGGACAGGCTATGCATCAGGATAGGAATAACGGAAAGCAGTAACATGCTACACTACTCTAATGCAAGCAGTATAGAGAAAAGAGTAGGCGATATCTGGTGATCAAAGGGGGGGCTTGCCTGGTTGCTCTGGCAAGAGAGAGGGGTCGTCAACTCCGTAGTCGAACTGGGCAGCAGCAGCGTCGGTCTCGTAGTCTACCGGAGAGAAGAGGGGGGAAGAAATAATGAATACAGAGCAAACAAAGCATCACAAAATATAACAAGGCAATACACGGTGTTCGGTGTGCCCTAACGCGGTAGTAGGTGATACCGACGAAGGGGGAAGACATCCGGGAAAGTATTCCCGGTGTTCCGTGTTTTCGGGCAGAGGAGCTGGAGGGGGAAAGTTGCGGGTTCGATAGGTTAGGGGTGTGCGGCGGACGAACGGACTGCGTATCCGGATTCGTCTCGTCGTTCTGAGCAACTTTCATGTACAAGGTATTTTCAACTGAGCTACGGATTATTTTATATTAATTTTTAAAGTTTTAAATGATTTTCTAATTTCTGGATTTAATTTAATTCGAAAAATAATAAATACTTAATTGCCATGGATACATAGAGAAGTGTACCCAGGGAAGTCCTTGTGAGGCAGACAGTGGGCCTGGTCAACTGCTGACTCAGCATTGACTGTTGACTTGGTCAAATAGTGAACAGTGTTTGTGGGACCCGCATGTCATTGACTGGGTTATCACAGTCAGTGGTTTGACTGGTCAATGGGGCCAGTGGGACCCATGTGTCATAGGTACACATGTTAACAGGGTTTTTTTTAATAGTTTTAGTTAAATTTGTTAACTAGCAGGCCCAGAGGTCAGTGAGTGCATAAGGTTATGATTTAGCCCTAAACAAGTTTAGGCCCAAACTAATACATAGCATGGGCCCACGCGTCGGTGCCACACCTAGTGGTTCGAACGCCGGCGATGCGAACAGAGAGCGGAGGTGCTCGCCTGCCGGCCATCTCCTGCGACGGCTGGATCTATAGGTGGGTTCGGCAGACGCAACGCGACGAGGCGCTCCGGAGGATGGCCGCGGGGTTGTCGGAGGTGGGCTGCAAAGCCGCCAGTGTCGGGGCTCGGCCTCGCAGTGCGTGCGGCGAGGACGGCAGGGTGCGGCCAACAGCGTGCGGCGTAGTCGGGCGCGGGGGTGGCGGGCGCGTTCACGAGGAGGGGCGAGCAAAGGCGGGAGCACCGTCAAGCGCGCAGTCGACGCGGGCGGCCGAGGTGAGGGCCGCCGCGGTAAGGCACTAGGCGGGGGAAGGAGAACCGGGGTCCTCACCGTCCGTTGGAGGGAAGGGGCGTCGAGGCGCGGTGAAGCCTTTGGGGAGGAGGACGGGGATGCGTCGTTGGCGAGGAGGAGACGAGGAGGACGAGGCGAAGGGCGGCGGCGAGGTCCAGTGAGAAGGAGGCCGTGGCACGGGCGCGAGGGAGGGGGCCGTCACCGGCGAGCGGCTCGTGCACCGCAACAGGGTCGCCGGGCGGTGCGGGGCTCGAGCACGGCGCCCTGCGGAGCCAGGGCGGCGGCGGGGCGCAGGGCGAGGCGCGGGCACCAGGGACGATGGGGTCGGGGCAGTTGAGGCCGAGGAAGCGATCCGGCGGCGTCATGGCGGCTGGGTCGGGGGCGACGGGATCGGGCCCCTCCCCGATCTAGAGTGTGGGGGCACCGGGAAGGAGGGTTGAGGAGGCGGGCACTGGGCGGTGGCGGCGATGGTGAACGGTGGCGCCGCCAACGGGGACGGCCCGATCCGATCTGGATCGGGTGAGAGGGAGAGACGAGGGAGTGTGGGAGGGGGAGTGGCTGCGGTCGTGGGGAGTGGGGGGGAAGTGGGGCGACGGCTAGGGTTTCGGTCGGGTGGGGGGTTAACAGAGTGTGTGGGGGGGCCGGGCCAAGTGGGCCGGCTGGGCGGCCTGGCTAGCCCCGTGGCCAGCTGGGCCGAGGCCCGGCGAGGGGTGGGGCTTTTATTTTTCTTTTGTTGTTGTTTTCTCATTTTCTTTCTGTTTTATTTTAGTTGCACTATATTTTTGGTTTAGTAAAATATGAAAATAGCTCCAAAAATAGTGTGTCAAATTAATCCACTATTCTAAGAAGTTTTTACCTCAGAATAAAAATAGTTTAGAATTTGGTAAAATATATTTGGAGTATAACTAATTGTTTTGATGTTGTTTTAATCACTTCAGGGTATTTAAATATTTTATAAAGATGTTGTTACTCCACCAATAATATCCATGATTTATTTGCCACATTAAGAACATTTTAGATTTGACTTTTGAAAACTTTAATTGTTTGACTTGATTTTAAATTTGAATTCGAACCGTTTTTGAACCATCGCGAGATTAGTAACAGTAACCGAGGTGATGTGGCATCATTAGCGTGGAATTACTGTAGCCTAATTATCCGGGCATCACAGTACTTCACCCTCGAAAGTTGTTGCGATCCCCTACACTTGTGGGTTATCATCCCCTGGGCGCGCCCCCTGCCTTGTGGGCCCCTGTCAGGCCTCCGGTGCCCATCTTGTACTATGGTGTGTTTTGACCTGAAAAAAATCAGAAGGAAGCTTTCGGGACGAAGCGCCGCCGTCTTGAAGCGGAACCTGGGCATAACCAATCTAGGGCTCCGGTGGAGCTGTTCTGCTGGGGAAACTTCCCTCCGGGAGGGGAAAATCGAAGCCATCGTCATCACCAACGATCCTCTCATCGAGAGGGGGTCAATCTCCATCAACATCTTCACCAGCATCATCTCCTCTCAAACCCTAATTCATCTCTTGTATCCGATCTTTGTCTCAAAACCTTAGATTGGTACCTGTGGGTTGCTAGTAGTGTTGATTACTCCTTGTAGTTGATTCTAGTTGGTTTATTCGGTGGAAGATCATATGTTTAGATCCTTAATGATAATTAATACTCCTCTGATTATGAACATGAATATGCTTTGTGAGTAGTTACGTTTGTTCCTGAGGACATGGGAGAAGTCTTGTTATAAGTAATCATGTGAATTGGTATTCGTTTGATATTTTGATGAGATGTATGTTGTCTTTCCTGTAGTGATGTTATGTGAACGTCGACTACATGACACTTCACCATGATTTGGGCCTAGGGGGTGCATTGGGAAGTAATAAGTAGATGATAGGTTGCTAGAGTGATGGAAGTTTAAACCCTAGTTTATGCGTTGCTTCGTAAGGGGCTGATTTAGATCCATATGTTTCATGTTATGGTTAGATTTATCTTAATTCTTCTTTCGTACTTGCGGATGCTTGCAAGAGGGGTTAATCATAAGTGAGAGGCTTGTCCAAGGAAGGACAACACCCAAGCACCGGCCCACCCACATATTAAATTATCAAAGTAACGAACGTGAATCATATGAGCATGATGAAAACTAGCTTGACAGTAATTCCCATGTGTCCTCGGGAGCGCTTTAATTTATATAAGAGTTCATCCAGGCTTGTCCTTTGCTATAAAAAGGATTGGGCCACCTTGCTGCACCTTAGTTACTATTGTTACCTGTTACTCGTTACGAATTATCTTATCACAAAACTATATGTTACCTATAATTTCAGTGCTTACAGAGAATACCTTCCTGAAAACCGCTTGTCATTTTCTTCTGCTCCTTGTTGGGTTCGACACTTTTATTTATCGAAAGGATTGATAGATCCCCTATACTTGTGGGTCATCAATGGACCATGCAACCAAGCGACCTCATATCTGACCAAATGTACACCATTCCACGAGGAATTATCGACTTTGCAAATTAATGTTGGATACTCCCAGAACATGCTTCTGAAATATGGGATAAGCTGAGAAGAACAGAGCAGATCACCTTAAACAAAAGTTGTGCAAGACATTTGGCCCCCAGTTGTGTGTATCACATTTAATTTGTTCGATCATGCAATCCAAACAGAATGATTTTCCTTCAAAAACTATGTTGTTTCGTTTCTTCCAAATCATCCAAACGACCAAGACAGACTCCATTCCTACTGCTCGACCACCAATGAGAGAAAGACTGGACGGCACAGTGCAGGGAAGACCGTCGGCGTCCAATCCTGTTATAGCCTGGCTTATTAGGGATGATAGACTACTTATATCAACAAGGAATTTCTTCTTTACCAGCGTCCATTCAGGAGAACGCCAAAATTAAACATGCTCAACATGAAGCAATTTCAGGATGAGTGACCGACTGCGAAGTCGATTCCAGATGCGTACAAGCGAGGACAAAGTGCGCAGGAAAGACTAGTATTGATCTGCAGGACCAATCTGGATTCTGCCAGGAGTAATGGCCAGTAACCGATGGGTGTGTTCAAGGCGTCACACAAGCAAAGGATCACCGAGCATCCCACGAGAAAATGATCAGCATCTTCACGATCAGGGCTATTTCTGAGATTTATCAACTGATTCAGAGATTTATCAACTGAATAGTGGAGTACATGGCAACAGGGTTGGTGATTCCAAAACCTCCAAAAATCTTAGGTTTGCACACATATGCAGCAGTTGCTGGCTTATCCGGATCATTATGCCATTTCAAACCGAAACGAGCATCAACATTTGGAATCCAAAATGTTGTGCATAGTGATACCAAGTATAACTAACAGTACATATATCATCATTCTTTTGCCGGCAAAAAATGATAAAGAGATCAAGTCATTATACATGATCAGCCTGTACCATGCTGGCTCTCTCTACTTGCAAGCTCAGAACAAAATGTCCTAGCAACCTATGTAGTACATTTACATCTCTGCATGAAGCAAAATGGCAAGGCTGCGGATGGAATTACTTCCAAACGCTAAGCCTCCTCCTTCACCTTTGATGAACCAGCCAGGCATGGATGACTTTGGATCATCGGCGCAGCATTCATTCCCATGCAGCTGAGCAAGCCGGCTTGAACGCGAGGATTGCCACGGTTCTGTCTATCGCGTTCGTCTCCCGTTCTGCACGGTCTGATGTCGAGGTGCTGAAATTGTCCAGTGAAAACCATTAGGATTAGCAACACATCCACACTACAGAAAAACGGGACCATACTATCAGGAGACATAGCATATGGTGAACATTCTACAATTGCTCCAGACTATGTACCTAGATTCGGTGCCCTCTGATTGCTGAAAACTTTGCTCGTTTGAGCACGTTAGTGTTGCTCCATTTACAGCAGTGCACTGCGCTTCTGAGCTTTCAGCCAGCCTGTAGAAAGCGTCACGGAGGCATACACGTGTCTTCTTTGTCAGCTGCAAAAGCAGATGTTTCATAGTTACAGACATGTAAAGATGCAAAGGTTACATGAACAAACTGGACATGCCAAAATGGTTACCCCTCTTCCGGTGAACATACCTGAAACATGACATCTTCAAGTTCCTCAAGCACTGCTACTTCCCCGTTGGAGGAGCTCTCTATATCGGGCACTGATCTGCTCCTCTTCATGGTGCTCACCTCAGCCTGCAATTTAACAAAATTTAGTTTAAGCCAGATAAGTATTTTATTCAGTAACCATAGATGCTTGAACAAACAATCATCTGTACTGGAGCAGGATTATACCTTGTCCTGGGAGGCACTCAGCAGTGTTTGTAAGCTGCCATCAGCGCTGCTAGGATCATTTTGCAAGTCATGGCTGAACAAAGGAAAGCCGCAAGTATCCATGGTGTCCATTTCATTATGACCTGGATTTGCTTCTTGATTTTGAGAATCAGTCAATACTCCACTCAGCATGTTCTCATAGGACAACAGTCTGTGCATGGAGCCAGGGAACATATCAAGTGCCTGAAACGGCGCATCCATCATCCTCATTTCATCATCCGAAAATTGACTCCTGAAAAAGTTTTTGGACAAATGGGCTTACAACCATGCATAAGATCTACGGCGATCACTCGCACATTACTTTCTATATGAGCCTTTAGTAAAGCACGGCACTAGTGTTGGTACATACAAGAAGATGTCGTTTGTTTCCTTGGAGTGCTGTAGTTCCAACGGCGCTGGCCCCTCAGATTGTTCTTCTGAAGGCCCTGTGCTGCAACCTGAAGAAACTCTGGCACATGCTGACGACCTCTCCTGTTGGCTGCTCCTCTCATGTTCATCGGCGTCGTCGAAACATTGCTCGATGCCATTCTCATGCTCGTCTGAGTATAGGCTTGTTGTGTTCAAATCATCAGATAGCCTTGAATTCCATTGTATCCAGTAATTTCCTTGCTCTGTCTTTTGATTCCCACCGAGTTCGTCGCCAGATGGGAAGATGCTTCCACCTTCTGCCAGGGTATAACACGACATGCTACTCATCTGGAAGAGGTATGACACTATTAGAACATCAACCAAACTACATGCATGTCAGACAAGCAAATTTTGTATTCATAGGTGACTACTAGAGTTATAATTCATCGATTCAGGATCTCTTTCAATTCAGGGGTTAACCAGTTTGCAAATAGCCGAGCAAAAAGGGATAAGTCACTCGTGCGTATTCGAGAAAAAAAAAGGGACAAGTAATCAAATCTAAGCATCAAAAATGATTTCCGTTTCTTTTAATAAAGCTAAGCAAAAGGCAGAACTTTTTTACAGTACCCGCTGGTTGCTGCTACTCGTAGCATATTATACTCTAACCGCGAGTTAATCCCCCGGCTTAATCGTAGCCACGTAGTTAAGTCCGTTATCTGCGTTAGGCATACTACATGGCTAAAAAAAATTCACAATAGAAATTATAAAGGGAAAGTGTAAAGCATCAACATATCAATTCACGGCAGATCGGGGTAAGCATTGACCAGAAGAGGCCACTGGTTCGGCACTTCGGCACAACCTCCGCAACGATGCCGTCCGCCGTGGCGGCTCGCGTGGTCGGCTGCACGGAGCCCGGCTTTTAGGTGCGGTGCAGCGGCGGCGGAATATGGGACTCTGGGCAGCGGCCCGCCGGCGCCACGTTCAGGCCGGGGGAAGGTGGAAGCCATGGACTCTTGGACGGGTAAATCTTAGCATCTCCATGAATCAATCAATCCTTCCCTTCCGTTACCTGTTGCTGGCGATGGCGAGTTGGAATCGAGATCCACTGTCGTTGCTTTGGTTCGCTGAATGTTATCGACTCGTGGCGTTCCCCACGTTGACACCGACCCTCGATCCGGATCGACGAACCCGGTTCGAGGAACGCTGCCTCGTTCCCCGTTCCTGGCAACTATTCCATATGAGGGACAAAGCTAGCTAGCTACCGGCAGAGGTTAAAAAGGGGGAACTATCCTTACGGACGAAATCTTATGGGGAGAGCACAGAGCACAGAGCAATTGAGCGGAGAACAAATCAACAGAGGAAGAAGAGATGAGTAAATCAGCAACGCACAAACCTTTTCTGTCTTCTCCTGGGTGGGGGGGGAGGGGAGCTGTTCTTGTGGATGCGCGGAAGGAAGCGTCTAGGCGGCTGCTGCTTAAAAATTGTGGTGGACGGGGAGAAGAGAAGATGAGGAGGGGATTCCTCTACTTAACGACCAAAGCGACACAATGACAGGCGGGCCAGAGGAGCGGCTGGGGCCCGCGGGTCAGTGCTGCGGTGGGCCCGGGCTGGTGAGGTGTGAGCCGCTGGGCCAAGCAAAAGGTTGAGTGGAGGCGGAAACTTGTGGCTGGAGAGGGTGCTTATCTAAATCAAGGCTGCCGCTGCGCCACGTTGGCCTAAGGATCCTTTGCTCAAATATAATGCGCTCTATCCTCCCACGTAATATGCCACCGTACCCGGGAAACACCCCTGCCTAACTACTATTTCCCCTCAGCCCTCGAACATACCAAGCATCTGGTGGGTGATGTCGTTTGGGTCACTTTATATGGTATAAAAAACAGCGCCAACAATTGCCTCCAATGGCCTGCACCAAAAAATCATTAAATGTTTTCGACTGCCCGGTTCGGACACTTTTTGTCATCCAACATCATGTCCGAAGTCCGGACGTTCAAAATCCCGCAAACCAGAAGCAAAATGGTTGGAGGTTTGCGGGCTTTCGAACATGCGCCATGTAGACGTCCGACTGAGTGGCCCCATCCAAAACTCTCGCCACGTGGATCGCTTCAGGAGGCTCGCCGCGCATTTGAAGGAAATATGCCCTAGAGGCAATAATAAAGTTATTATTTATTTCCTCATATCATGATAAATGTTTATTATTCATGCTAGAATTGTATTAACCGGAAACAATGATACACGTGTGAATACATAAACAAACATATAGTCACTAGTATGCCTCTACTTGACTAGCTCGTTTATCAAAGATGGTTATGTTTCCTAGCCATGGATAAAAGAGTTATCATTTGATTAACGGGATCACATCATTAAGAGAATGATGTGATTGACATGACCCATTCCGTTAGCCTAGCACTTGATCATTTAGTATGTTCCTATTGCTTTCTTCATGACTTATACATGTTCCTGTAACTATGAGATTATGCAACTCCCGTTTACCGGAGGAACACTTTATGTGCTACCAAACGTCACAACGTAACTGGGTGATTATAAAAGTGCTCTACAGGTGTCTCCAAAGGTACATGTTGAGTTGGCATAATTCGAGATTAGGTTTTGTCACTCCGATTGTCGGACAGGTATCTCTGGGCCCTCTCGGTAATACACATCACTTAAGCCTTGCAAGCATTGTAACTAATGAGCTAGTTATGAAATGATGTATTACGGAACGAGTAAAGAGACTTGCCGGTAACGAGATTGAACTAGGTATTGGATACCGACGATCGAATCTCGGGCAAGTAACATACCGATGACAAAGGGAACAACGTATGTTGTTATGCGGTTTGACCGATAAAGATCTTCGTAGAATATGTAGGAACCAATATGGACATCCAGGTTCCGCTATTGGTTATTGACCGAGAATAGTTCTAGGTCATGCCTACACAGTTCTCGAACCCGTAGGGTCCGCACGCTTAACGTTACGATGACAGTTTAATTATGAGTTTATAAGTTTTGATGTACCGAAGTTTGTTCGGAGTTCCGGATGTGATCACGGACATGACGAGGATTCTCGAAATGGTCGAGACATAAAGATTGATATATTGGACGGATATATTTGGATACCGGAAAGGTTCCGGATGAGATTGGGAATATACCGGAGCTCCGGGAGGTTACCGGAACCCCCCGGTAAGTATATGGGCCTTATTGGGACTTAGTGGAAAGGAGGGAAAAGGAGCAAAGGAGGGGCGCCCCCCCCCCAAGCCCAATCCGGATTGGGAGGGGGGCCGGCCCCCCCTTTCCTTCTTCCCTCCCCTCTCTTCCTTCCCTCTCCTACTCCTAATAGGAAAGGGGGGGGGCCAAACCTACTTGGAGTAGGATTGCCCCCCCTAGGGCGCGCCTCTCCCCTTGGCCGGCCCCCTCCTCCTCTCCCCCTTTATATACGGCGGAAGGAGGCACCCCTAGGACACACAAGTTGATCTACGGATTGTTCCTTAGCCGTGTGCGGTGCCCCCCTCCACCATATTCCACCTCGGTCATATCGTCGCGGAGTTTAGGCGAAGCCCTGCGCCGGTAGAACATCATCATGGTCACCACGCCGTCGTGCTCACGGAACTCATCCCCGACGCTTTGCTGGATTGGAGCCCGGGGAACGTCATCGAGCTGAACGTGTGCTGAACACGAAGGTGCCGTACGTTCGGTGCTTGGATCGGTCGGATCGTGAAGACGTACGACTACATCAACCGCGTTGTCATAACGCTTCCGCTTACGGTCTACGAGGGTACGTGGACAACACTCTCCCCTCTCGTTGCTATACCATCACCATGATCTTGCGTGTGCGTAGGAAATTTTTTGAAATCACTACGTTCCCCAACAGTGGCATCCGAGCCTAGGTTTTATGCATTGATGTTATATGCACGAGTAGAACACAAGTGAGTTGTGGGCGATACAAGTCATACTGCTTACCAGCATGTCATACTTTGGTTTAGCGGTATTGTTGGATGAAGCGGCCCGGACAGACATTACGCGTACGCTTACGCGAGACTGGTTTTACCACCGTGCTTTGAACACAAGTGACTAGCGGGTGTCTGTTTCTCCAACTTTAGTTGAACTGAGTGTGGCTATGCCCGGTCCTTGCGAAGATGGAGGAGAATAGTTCTGTCAGTGAACACATACTCAAAATGTCCGGGTATAATAATCACTTGATTCAACTGGGAGTTAATCTTCCTGATGATAGTGTCATTGACAGAATTCTTCAATCACTGCCACCAAGCTACAAGAGCTTCTTGATGAACTATAATATGCAAGGGATGGACAAGACTATTTCCGAGCTCTTCGCGATGCTAAAAGCCGCGGAGGTAGAAATCAAGAAGAAGCATCAAGTGTTGATGGTTAACAAGACCACCAGTTTCAAGAAAAAGGGCAAAGGGAAGAAGAAGGGGAACTTCAAGAAGAACAACAAACAAGTTGCTGCTCAAGAGAAGAAACCCAAGTCTGGACCTAAGCCTGAGACTGGGTGCTTCTACTGCAAGCAGACTGGACACTAGAAGCGGAACTGCCCCAAGTATTTGGCGGATAAGAAGGATGGCAAAGTGAACAAAGGTATATGTGATATACATGTTATTGATGTGTACCTTACTAATGCTCGCAGTAGTACCTGGGTATTTGATACTGGTTCTGTTGCTAATATTTGCAACTCGAAACAGGGACTACGGATTAAGCGAAGATTAGCTAGGGACGAGGTGACGATGCGCGTGGGAAATGGTTCAAAGTCGATGTGATCGCGGTCGGCACGCTACCTCTACATCTACCATCGGGATTAGTTTTAGACCTAAATAATTGTTATTTGGTGCCAGCATTGAGCATGAACATTATATCTGGATCTTGTTTGATGCGAGACGGTTATTCATTTAAATCAGAGAATAATGGTTGTTCTATTTATATGAGTAATATCTTTTATGGTCATGCACCCTTGAAGAGTGGTCTATTTTTATTGAATCTCGATAGTAGTGATACACATATTCATAATGTTGAAACCAAAAGATGCAGAGTTGATAATGATAGTGCAACTTATTTGTGGCACTGCCGTTTAGGTCATATCGGTATAAAGCGCATGAAGAAACTCCATACTGATGGGCTTTTGGAATCACTTGATTATGAATCACTTGGTACTTGCGAACCGTGCCTCATGGGCAAGATGACTAAAACGCCGTTCTCCGGAACTATGGAGCGAGCAACTGATTTGTTAGAAATCATACATACTGATGTTTGTGGTCCAATGAATGTTGAAGCTCGCGGTGGGTATCGTTATTTTCTCACCTTCACAGATGATTTGAGCAGATATGGGTATATCTACTTAATGA